AGGAAGGACAGGGGTTGGGCCAGGCAGGCCAAGAAGGGCCTCGAGTGTGATGTCTCTGCTCCTTATCGCTAAGCTGCAGGCGGACCGATAATGCGTACAATTGCTGCACCTTAATGAAGACTCCAATGTAAGCCATCCTCACGAGTTAGCTGACCACCCTTGTCTCTGTACAAGTGGAGAGTCGAGGAAATGGCACTAACTCTGACTGATGTGGTGCCAGTAAGAGCTTGCAGACATGCAGAGTGGAACTTCAGCAGTAAAATCAACCCTTGTTAAGCATAATGTCTGCATGCAAGGGTGTAGACTTTCCAATTTCCCGGGGGGGGCTGGGGCTGGGCCAGAGGCATTGCTGTGCTAGGAGCAAGGGTGGCCCCCGGGGGAGGCTGAGCACCTTCCTGAAAATTTCGGCGGGGGCTGAAGCCCCGCCGCCCCCACGAAGATTACGCCTATGTCTGCATGTGCACGTTTAATCATATCTGTGTGTTCTCCCCCTTCCCTTCTCTCTCTCTCTCTGCCAGGTGACAGACCAGTTAAGCAGATCACTCAGAGATGTCTCCTCCATCTTGCTCCGTAGCACCAAGGATGTTCTAGTGCGTCCTGGCAAAAATCAGTTAATTTCACTTTTTAAGAGAGTTTGTAGAGTTAAAAAAAAACAGTAGGAGGCATTTTTCTACCTATAAGTTTGGACACACTCTTCTGTTTTGTAGACTTCACTGTTTAGCCTTTGGGGGGTGGGGGGAGGGAACCAAAATTGTAAACGGGCCAGGGGCTGAGTTGGTCCCCTTCTACTTGAGGGGGTGTCTCCACGAGGGAAGCTAATATTCATCATCTTGTTAACTGTGCAAGTACCAACATTGGAAGTTCCTTGGGAAGGAAGCTGTTGTTCAAATAAATCTGAGGTCAGCGTGGCCTTAAGCGCTAACTGATCGAACGGCCAAGAGACACCATTGCATCTGATCTCAGCCTTACTGCTGAGTTTCCCGGGAAGCCTGCATGTGCCCCTGCCTCATGTGTGCTGGCAGTTTCCCTTCTTGCAAAACTCACTGTGTCTGCCCTAACAGGGGGTACAAGTATGCCATGGACTGGCCAGATTAGCCCCACTGGTGTGACATATTTGTGTCTCTGCTGGAGTGGCTTCCTGGACACGTTTTTCCTCCCTTTGTGGCTTGCTTCCCTTCCTCCCAGTCTCACAAACAAAGGATCAAGTGCCATAATTGCTCATAAGTCTAGGCACCTTCTGTTCTGAGGTACAGCCTTTGTATGGTGTCCCCCCCCCCGGCCCCATCAGATCTAAATGCAGCCCTTGGAAGTGTGGCTCTGCAGCATTTCAGGCTGCTCCGTGCTGAGTAATCTCTCCTGGTGAGGAATGAGTGAGTTGGCTGCTCTAGTAACTGTTGGGGGGGGGGGCAGGCTGTGGCCGCAGGAGTGAAACACCTGCACACATGGCTGCATCCTCACGGAACACCTTGACTTCTGTTGAAGTTGGATAGGGAAGGAAAGCGCCCTAGAATCTGTTGACCCCGTCTGGTACGATTGAAATCTCACCTGTTCTAACAAGATGACTTTCTCAGAAGACAGCAGGCTTGCTCTTTTTGAGGGGGGCACAGCCTTGTTCCCACTGCAGAGGGCTCTGTGCTCCTCTGCCTTCTAGCACGCGAGTCAGACAGGCTGGGGGGGCTGTAAGCGCTGCCGGAGGGGGAGAGCAGGCTTTCAGTTCACAGTGGAAAGGGCAGGAGGTGAGAATGGTTTGGGGGAGGGGTTTAGCAGAAAGAAGTGAGGGGGGTGCTGCTGGAAGGAAGTGGCAGGGGGCAGGGAGGACCCAGAGGTTTGCAAAGGGGAGAGAGACCCTGTAGGCGTGAGCAGGATTGGGAGAGAGGGGCCTTGCAGGAGGGATTATGAAGCAGAGTGAAGAACCAGGCCAGAGAAGCCAGTGCAAAACTCCCAAGCTGGAAAGGCGAGGGGGGGGAGGTACAGGAGGGCCTGAGGCTGGACTGGGGGCATTCCCTGCAGGGCCAAGAGGTTTTCAGCCTCATAACTGGTGAAAATGGCATGGAAATGGGGGTGGAGTTTCCAGCATCAGTTCTGTTAAGCACAGAAGGAAAAGTTAATAGGTGCCTTTGAAAAACAACAGCACGTTCCCTGCCTTGCAGTGCACATGTCCTTCCCCACAGCAGGGATAATGGAAGGCCGGGCTCTGTGGCCTTCAGAGGTTTTCTTTGATCCAAGATCTTGGCAAGCCTCTCAGGCACAGGGCCTTCTCCAGGGCTTCCAAAGGCAATGCCGGGCAGGAGTCCAGATTGAACAGAGCTCCACCTGTATTTAGAGAAAAAGGAATGTAAGGCCTTTCTGCCCTGGAGAGAGGCTTCCTAGGGCAAGTTGCCGTCAGTCTGACTCTAGGGCTTGTGCGCCCAACACTTCATTTTTTTTCCCCCTGCAGCAAGGAAAGGAATTCTGTAGCTGGCATAAATAATTTCATTTAATCAGAGCTGCACAGTGGGTGTTTTATACAGTTTTGGTTCTGCTAGGCCAGGGAGCACTGAAGGCCCCTGCTGGGGGGGGGGGATCTGCCTGAGCATCTCCCCCCATGCTTAAATCTGAGGCACCATCTGCAGTCCTAAGGCCTAGCGATACGTGCTCTTAAAAAGAGAACTGAGGTCTGAACTCTGCACTCCCATCTCCCACCCTCTTCCTCAGCTCATTTCTAAGGACACATGAGAACAGTGCATCCATTGTTCTCTGTCAAAGGGGCCTTTTACCTTGATGACCGGTGGCCTATAAAGTCTGAAGAAGAAAGTCTTCCCTACCAACAGGCCCCACTCTCTTCCCTCCCTTTGTGCAAATCCCCCTCCCATTGTGGGGCACAGAGAAAGCACACAGAGGTTGCTGCCTGTCTTGCGGCAGGGTCTCCTTTCTCGCCTGCCCTCCACGGAGGCCGCTGGCCACCTCCGTAAGCCACTGCAGTGGGTCTTTTACCGGGGGCTGCCTAGGCCAGTGACTCTTCCTAGATCACGGTGGAGGAGGCTGAGGGCAGGACGTGATGCTCTGGGCAGGCCCTCCGTATTATGCACCGGCTTCTCAGGGTGAGAACCAGTTCTAGGCTTCTGCTTCAGTTGCATCAGCGGAAGTCGTTTTTTCTCCCTGCTGCTTGTTTGTCAGCTGGGAGGATTGAAAAGAGAAGCAGTGCAGGCTGGATAGTCTAGCAGTGATTGTTCTGTTTTTGGCACCCGGGGAGGGGGGGGGGAGGGGAGGTTAAGAAGCTGCACCGTTATCTCGCGCCTTTGTCCTGAGCTGTTAATGTTTGACGGTGTCCTCCTTTAATTTTCAGGCACAGGAGTATAAAGAGCCTTTTTTCTGTTTTAATGAAGTTTACTGTACTTACCGGGGGGTGGGGAGAGAGACGACAGAAAAGGTCACTTGGGAGGAAAGGCTCTTTCTTCGCTGCCCCCAGGCAGAGTGTCCTCTGCCGAAGCCCCTTTGCAAGGTCTGGGGGCAGGTGGCACACAGCCCTGTGCCTTCCCCGTGGCAGTCAGAGCATCCTTCCTTTCCCAAGCACCATCGCCAGACTGGTATGGAGGCGGCCAGCACCGACTGAATTTCCTCGCAATGTTCTCCAGCCCAGCTGAAGTCGAAGCAGGGCCTCAGCCACGAAGGCAGCCAAGGAAGAGCTTTCCACTGGGGGGGGGCTTGATTGTGGAATTCCACA